GGCCTCCCCAGGGCAGAGCAGAGGGGGAGGATGACCTCCCTCCACCTGCTGGCCACACTCTGCTTGATGCCCCCCAGGATGTCATTGGCCTTCTTGGCCACCAGGGCACATTGCTGGCTCGTGGGCATCCTGTTGTCCCCCAGGACTCCCGGGTCCCTTTCCACAGAGCTGCTCTCCAGTAGGTCAGCCCCCAACCTGTACTGGTGCGTGGGGTTATTCCTCCCCAGATGCAGTACCCTACACTTGCCCTTGTGGAACTTCATCATGTTCCTCTCCACCCAACTCTCCAGCCTGTCCAGGTCTCGCTGAATGGCGGCACAGCCTTCCGGTGTGTCAGCCACCCCTCCCAGTTTTGCATCATCAGCAAACTTGCTGATGGTACACTCCATCCCACATCACACACATGCGTGATGCCAGGATGGGAAGTGTCCCTGGGGGCGAGGAAGGGACAGGTCTGCCTCCAGCAGGCACCTGCCCCAACAGGAGACACACCCAACAGTAATTTATCATAATTTAAAAAAAAAAAAAATCAGTAGAAAACCAGCATCAGTGTCTGACACTGACTTAACTCTCACAGGTGCCCCACAAGGGACACTTCACCCCCTGGTGCTGTGTCCCCTCTGCCCCGCAGAGCACAGGGACCTCCGCTGAGCTTTCGGCACCCAGCTCGGTCGGTGGCAGCTGCTGGAGCTTCATCGCCACAGCTCAAAAGCAGGTACGTGCGATTTGTGAGGGTTATGGTCTGAGAAATCCACAACAATTTATTGTCTTTTAGACAATTATTATATCACCCAATGACCCCTCCCCACCCGTGAAGGGGAACTGGGGACAAACAAGGAAACACGAGGGTTTAAATATAAATATATTTAATAGACTAAGACTAAATCATTAATATTAATAAGGCTAAATAACTGGTACTGATCCCAATACAACTATCAAATAGTGATATCAAATACTCAGCCCGTTATCTCAGTAGGAAGCTGTGCACTCCCAGCAGAGGACAGCAAATGTGGGACCCTGTGCGCGCTGCGGCTTCAGGAGGAAGGCACTGGAAAAAGAAGTTCTCTGGATGGCAGCCATCAAGGAAGAAAGAGCATTTTGCAGCCAACTTTCTCATTTCTATTGAATGTGTCATTCATTGTAAGAAATAATCCTGTTGGCAGCTTGGGCCAAATGCCCGGGTCTCGCTCCTCCTCATCCCCGCACCTGGCGAGCTCGAAAATGCTAAGACCTTGAAATTCACATGCCACAGCTGGCTATAAAGTAGATATTTTCAGAAATTCAGACATCGGAGTCTTCTAAAAGTGCAGTTTTCCCAAACATTAGAAGATACATTAGTCCTGTGGCGCTCAAACCAGGACAGTGAGAGAAGGAAGATAAGTTTTGGGGTGGTCCCAGCAGGAGAAAGAACCCCACCCCATGCGCAACACAAGGTCCCAGTCCAGGCAGGCACACGTGTCTCCCAACTTGTGAGTTCATCCCACCGTGTCTCCCAACCTGTGAGTTCATCCCAGAGCTGGCAGTGAGTTTCTGCTGAAACCAGGAGCAACCCGGACCAGCAGTTAAGGGAAGGACATCTGCACATCACCCTGCACTGGTGGAAGAGGTGAAGCTGTGTCCTCAGCATGGAGAAGGTCCCTTCTCTACCAGTCTGTCAAATGGTTTCCATCAGAGCAGGGGCTTGCTGCAGACATAAGGCCGTGACAGTGTGCAGCTTGAACTCCAGAGATCATGGTCGTTCAGGAACACACAAGGTTGTTGGCCCTTCACTGGGATCCTGCAAGAAGCCGCAAGGACACTGCTGGTACCATGGCGTTAGCGGTTGTCCCCTCAAGCACCAGGAGGAGACAAGGGCTGCCTGCAAGGGACAGCCCCAGCAGACACGTCCCACCAGGCCCCTGCCTGTCCCACTGCAGGACAGTCTCCCCACAGCCCTGGCTCGCAACAGGACTCACATCTGGTTGAAGTCGCTGCCATCCACCCACTCCAGGCGCTCGCCCCGTCCCTGCAGCCCAAGCCAGTAATCAATATTGCCCTTGACGCGCGACAGAAACTCCTGGGTAGGAAAGAGAGAAGCCAACAGTTGGGAGCTGCCGCCAGCCCCACGTGAGCCCCTGTCCCAGCCCCACATTGGTCCCTGCTGGCCCCACACCACTACCACCAGCCTGGGGCTGGCAGCAGCTCCCCCCCCACGCCTGCTCCAACCAGCCCGGCCAGTGGTGTTGGTCCTGCTCTGCTCGGGCTCCAGTCGAGCCCCACGCATGGGGACACGCGCCCCGTGCCCCACGCCGCACCTCGTGCCTCCTGCCCCCCCAGGCCCCAGGGCACAACCGCAGCTCTGCCCCTGCAAACACCTCTCGCCTGCCCCAGCGCCAACCCCGGGCTCTGCATCCAACCACGGCACCCCCACGTAGCCACAGCAGCCCCTCACTCACCATCTCCCACTCCCTCTTGAGCACAACCAGTGAGGCCCCGCGCAAGGAGCACTGCTCCTGGCTCCAATCCCAGCTCCCCTCATCCCTCGAGAGGTAGTAGCAGACATTGCGGTACCCGACCCAGTCCTCGGGACAGGCCAGCACCAGAGCTGTAGGCACAGCCGGATCCCCTTCATGTCTTCCTGTTGGAGAGGGAAGGGGAGAAGGGGAAGAAGGTGAGAGGATTCGGCTCCAGGGAGATCGGGGGACACAGCTCCGTGGGGCAGGGAAGGAGGCGGCCGCTCCACCCTTACCTGATAGTACACCAACAGCCGTGGCCAAAGCCACGATCAGAGCCACCAGCATGACCAGCACCAGGACACACACTGGATGGCATGTGCACCACGTGCCTGGAGGAGGAAAAAGCCACTTGCAGTGAGGATTATGCTGTCCAACGAGATGGGGATGAGGGCCACTACAGACCACCCGACGAGGACCAAGGAGAACGTGAGGTCTTTCCCAGACATCTGGAAGAAGCCTCACGCTTGCCAGCCCCACTCCCTGTGGGATGACGCTGACACAGAGACGCTGTCCCCCCTCCCCTCCCAAAAGGCCACATTGGGCATCGGCAGCCTTCCCCGCAGCCAGCTTCTGCTCTCCTGACGCTGCACCATCAGCAGCCTCGTAATGTCACACTCATGGTACATCGCAACACTAAACCAATCCTCCCCATCCCTTTCATCCCTCACATCCCCTTAAAACTAAAACCCTGGGTGTTTTCTTCCCTCGACCTGCCCTGCACTGACCCAGAACTCTTCTGCCTGTCCTTGTGCCTGTATCTCCAGACAGCTCTGGGAGGGGGGATCCCCCTCTGTCCTGGAGACACAGGGGCTCCTCGGCGTTCCCGTTGCTGGAGCCGAATCCGTTCCTCTCCTCCATGGCGTGCTGAAAAGTACAATCACTTGTTGCTCTGCTTTGCTCACAACGGGCCGGATCGCGCGTCCAAGGCATCAACGCCGCTGGCAATGCCTGTCCCGAGCCACGCTTGGATGTGGTTCTACGATCCTCTTGGGAGATGGCAGAGAACATCAGGCAGTAGGCAGGGATGATTAATGACTAATTTTAGCGGACGGGGCCGTGCCCGGCGTCCCCAGAGCAGGTGAGACGGTGAGGTGACAAATCCAGTTGGATTCATTACTGCAGACTGAACCTGCAAGAGGAATAAAAAAACCCCATGGACTTTGAACATAGAAGAATGGGGAAGTGATGGAGAGGATCCAGTGGGTTAAGCGTCTAATGGGAGGAGTGGGAGAAGGGAAGGACAAAGAGGAAATGGAAACTGTTCAGAAAGCAATTATTGCATATCCAAGGGTCATGTGTATTATCCAACAATATGTACACTAGGAGGAGAAAAAGACTCTAGCAAATAAACAAAAATTGAAAAAGATATTAAGAGATAAATAAAAAAGATACATAAGCAGCATAAAATTTGAGGTTTGGAAGGCGAACAGAAAATGTATAGAATTAACTTAAGATAAAAGAAAGCAAAGATACAAAAAGTGCAAGCAGATAATGAAATGAAGATGATAGAAATAGACTAATTCAGAGTATATCCCTAGCATATGTAAGAAAAACTCTGCAAAGAAAGCAGCAGGTTTTCAGGGTGAAACAAAGGCAGCATGATACTGTGAGTTGGTTCAAGCCCCGTTTCTCATCTCTCTGGTTTTACTATTACTGAAAGGTTTAAAACAATAAAGCAATTGGCAACTCTTGTTTTTAGACAGTTTTCTCCATTTACAATATACTGGGAAAAAGACAATCCTGCTTTCTCCATCTCACAGCACAGCTGACACCAAGAGAGGTAAATTCACAGTTTTCCCACAACCTTCCACCTTTCCCAGAGTGATCCAGGTGAATTAAGAGTAACTACATATCATCCTTAGAAGTAACTACATATCATCCTTAGCAGACACTGCAAGATGCTCAGACAGCTGCCTCTTCCAGTGTCATTCCACCTCCATTTTGAACAAGCTGGAAATTGGAAAATACAGGAAGCACTGGGTTTGAAGAGGTATTTACAGTTCTAGACAGGATGCATTTGCACTTTGAGGCAATACTACTGTCAGTAAGATGGGAAACATAATTTGGGCATAGTTATGCTTGGTTTGTTGTGGATCTCAAGTCATTGCATCAGTGCCATTGAAATTGTGTTTCCACTAGGTTTGTTTCTTTACTATGGCTGATATTTTACTGCCTTACTTCCATTGATGGATGTCTCCTATCAACTTACAGCCTTCATCACTCCTAAAATTCACATTGTTGGCTTCTACTCATGAGCTCTCAAACAACTTGACAGAAATCCTGGGATGAAGATGACTCAAGTTACACTGGGGTAGATTTAGGATGGATATTAGGAAAAATTTCTTCACAGAAAGGGTTGCCAAGCATTGAAGGAGGCTACCCAGGGAAGTGGTAGAATTGCCATCCCTGGAGGTGTTTAAAAGACGTGTAGACGTGGTGCTGAGGGACATGGGTTAGTGGTACCTTGGCACTGCCGGGTTAATGGTTGGACTCGATGATCTCCAAGGTCTTTTCCAACCTTAATGATTCCCGGATTCTGTGCCAATCGGTGCAATATCTGGGCTGTGACTGTGAGTCTTCCTGAGCAGGGTCTGGGGAAGGAAAGGTCCATCTCGCCATTGCTGTTTGCTATTTAAAAGTGGTTTTTGATGGCACAGTCATCAGTAAAACATTTTTGTGCATCCACCACCCCCCCAGTATATCTGTATCTATTTATTTATAAATCATATATATGTTCTACTGTACTAATGTATTAGGTACTCTATAAGACATACATAGGCAGTAGAAATTAAAAATGTAGGTGGTAAAGATGAACAATATTTGAAAACCTTCTTTTTATTTTACTGTATTAATGGTACAAACCCCCTTCTTTGCTCTAAATATACCATTAATTACCTAAAAATACCATTAATAATAATAATAATATTTTGTAGTGAGGGCTCTGTGATTGCCTACACGTCGTTAGTTTTGAAAATCCTGGCTTAGCACTTTGTGACACAGCCATCCGCAGGGCTGCTTCTCAGTCCAGTTTATTTCGATACTTGGTTTTAATGACTGTCCCTGCTGAAAAAAATTCCTCACGCAGATGCGTAGGTGCGAATGGTAGTGTGTTGGCTGCGCTTACTAAACCCCGATACTCAATTTTTGACCCATCCACTGCTTAGGCAAAGGGTTTTCTTGGCTGGTGAATGTCCACCTTCCCCAGTGTCAGCCAGTTGTGCTTGCAAACCCATTGGAAGGTGTTGCTTTTTTGGGGTTTTAGCAAATGCTCTCTGCATAGCATGTGTTTCTTTCAGAAAGCAATCACTTTCTCAGTCGTTGAAATGCCACCATCACCTTGGACGATATCTGCGAGGTAGCATACTACCGACAGCAACGGGTCATCCGCAAGTTTGCGGTGCTTGTCTTTTTGTAAAATAAAACTCCTTTAAGTTCAACAGCTCTTTTGAGCCTTTTGCTGCGAGATAATGGTGGTACAAGAGATTTTCATGATTTCTCCTCATCTCATCAGAACGTATTCTAAAGAAATCATTTACTGTTAAGAATGCATGAGAAAATATACATACAATGAAAATCAATATAAGTTCAGATATTTCCTTCGTGCATCCCGATGGACTGTCTTGCACACCCCACCTTGGAGACCACTGGCTTAGAACACTGAAGGGAAGAATGATCTGGGTGTCCAGAAGTCGTCAACACCTGGGTCGGTACAAGTGACATCCCCCTCTCTGGATTGGTCTTTTTAACATTCATGACATCTTCGGGTACGTTTCCAGCTGTGAATCTTGCTCGAACTCAAGTTCCCACTTTGATCTGCTTTGGAATGACTTTGTGCAGACCTGCAAAGCTCTCAGGTGCTATTGACGATGTCCGATTTCTATAACCCACGCCACCGATTCAGCAATACCTATTTTAAAGTCATTGGGACAAGGCATGAGACGAAAAACTTTTGTCTGCTGCTTCCCAGTGCCAGTTTAATTGGCCGTTGTCCTCTTCATCTGGTACATGGATGCTTAGCCTGGGAGATGGAATCACATACTCGGCTCTGTTACCTTGGGACTTAATCGAGGGAATCTTTCCCTGGTGGGACTGTGCTGTGCATGTTTACTGCAAAACTCATGATCTAATTTCTCACGAGCACTGTGATTTTTTTTGCATAAATGGCAGTGAAGTGTGGAGCATCCTCCGGATCAGGAGTTACAGGTCTGCTCTCACCAGAATCTGAAAATCCCTGTTCTGTGGAAGGGAAGGGGATCGTGATGTAGCATCTCGTTTAAATGCTTGGGTGAAAGCCTCTTCTCTCAAGGAAGCCGTAGTAAATGCTAGACACGGGCCTGTTGGAGCAGGGCCAGAGGAGGTCACAAAGATGTTGTGAGGGCTGGAGCTCCTCTGCTGGGAGGAGCAGCTGAGAGAGTTGGGGGGGTTCAGCCTGGAGAAGAGAAGGCGAACAAGGGGAGACCTCAGAGCCCCTTCCAGTGCCTAAAAGGGCTCCAGGAGAGCTGGGGAGGGACTTGTGACATGGGCATGGAAAAGGGCAGGAAAGATGGGGACAGACTCTTTATCACGGCCTGTAGCGATAGGACAAGGGGTGATGGTTTCAAACTAAAAGAGGGGAGATTCAGCCGAGAGAAAAGGAAGAGATTTTTTTTACACTGAGGGTGGTGAGACACTGGCCCAGGTTGCCCAGAGAGGTGGTCGATGCCCCATCCCTGGAAACATTCCAGGCCAGGTTGGACAAGGCTCTGAGCAACATGATCTGGTTGGAGATGTCCCTGCTCATGGCAGAGGGATTGGACCAGATGGCCTTTAAAGGTCCCTTCCAACCCAAAGTATTCTGTGATTCTGTGCTGATGGGAGGCATTCTTCCTCCAGTAAGTACAAGTTGTGACTCCTGTAGGACAGATTTATCGCTCTGCCAGCGGCAGTGCTGTAGTCATCCCCTTGGGCTGTAGGATGGGCAGAGAAGCCCAAGTCTGCTGCCTGCAGCCTCGCTGCCCCTGGCCCCTGCTCTGAGCTGGGGGAGGAAGGGGAGGGAGGAGCTGTGAGGGAATGGTGTGGGTTGAGTGGCTCTGGGTGCTGGTGCAGGTCCTGGATTAGCCCCCGGGTGGCCTTTTGCTGAGTGCAGGGCTAGTGCCTGGGGCCTTTGGCTTCCCCGGGCTGGAGCCAAACCCTTCCTGTCCCTGAAGGCACCCCCCGCCCCAGGTGTGGAGACAGTGACTGTGAGACTGTAGAGAGAGGGCACGAGAACTTGAAAAGATTTATTATTAAGAATATTGTACTATTAT